TGCTTTGATTCTTCTGAACTGACTCTTGTAGTGGGCAGTGCTCGGTTTGCCTGGTGTTTACAAAGCACGGAGAGGTACGTCTCTTGACACCTGTTGAAGCAGACGTGGAGCCGTGACAGGACAGTCCAGGCAATGCGCTGCCTTGTAAGCCAGCTGAAGTCCTGCCCACCTCTCACCCCAGAGCAACACGCTGTTATTGGCTCTGCTTCTTCTCACCTCTTTGATGCTGTTGCTCTAACTGTGAGATTGAAATAGGGCCAAGAGCTGATCCTTGGAGGCTAGCACTCATAACTCATCACCTAAGTGACTCCTGCTGCTCTCAGGTTTGCTGGTGCCAACAGACTCCCTTCAAGGTTGCCGGCTTGTGTTCATGGGGCAAATGGAGACTTAAAGTTTAATGTTTTCCTGACTTCCCACTGCTTGTTCTTGCACTATCTGTGTTGTTACAACATCTGTAGTAAAACCAGAATGATATATAAATGTGAAAATACCTCCTATAAACCAGCAAGCAGTATAGCATCCAATGAAGGAAAGTGCAGGGGATTAAATGTGTATCATACAGGGAATACATTGTATTAACTAAATGCAAACATACATTTTTCTTGGGTTTTGTCTTTTGGAATGAGAACGATCGGGACAGATCAACAGAACAGGGATACCCTGGTGAAACTTCACTGAAGTCAGTAGAGTTACACCAGGGATACATTTGGCTGATTCTTTTGCTAACGGCTGTATGAAAGCCTTAATATAGAGTTTCTGCATCTGTGAAGTATATGCCAAGACAAACGCAACGTGCTAAATGGAACCTCTTGATTTATTTAAGTAAAAAATATGTTACAAAAAAATGGTGGATAATTGGAGTGGAATGGATCCAGACTGGAATCGTCTGTCTCATGTCTCCAGAGTGTCTGAGGGAGGAGCAGTAAGGAATATCTTGCTCGTATACCTAAGCAACGTAGGATATGCAGATAACAGATAATTTCTTGAAACTTCTAAGATCCACCAAGGGACTCGGAGCTTTTTAGAAGACAAAGGTTGCAATCAGATGTAAAACAGCACTTTTGGCTGAAGCTAATACGGACTTAGAGGTTACCAAATGCAGCCTGTCCTCAGCTGTCCATCCGTTATCTTCCTTATAGGCATTTGCCTCCCTCTCCCCTTCCAGTTCAGATCTACCAGTATCATTGACACTCCCCGCCTGGCCAAAATGGTCTAAGTATTAAAAAAAATCCCCAAACCTATCAAAAATATTAAGGCTAAACGATCGTGGTTTGCCTTAAATGGGTTGGAGTATAAGCCAGGCGATGTGCTGTGGACGTGATAGCCAACCAGTCATGCCTAGGGCTGGGCTAGACAAGGCAGTATCTTCTTGTGGACCAGCAGCAGCCTAAACAGCATCTCTGAGCACAGTCTAACGTCAGTGTTTGAACATCATGGACTTTTCCCTTACAATCCCTAATTGCCTGCTAACTGTGGAGGTACCCGGTGCCGTCCGATGGCCACCCTTCTGCTTGTGCTGACCTGCAAAGCCATTTAAGCCACGTAACTGTTGAACTGCTCAGAGACCTCCCTCACATCAAAGGTCTGCTGCGTTTCTCAAGCTCTGGGTTTCCCGTGCCTTTAATACCTGGCATGCCCAACCAGACAGGTAGTCCCAGAGCATACCTGACTTGCACTTGAGGGCTAGTGCTGGGAGGAGGGAAGGGGAGAAGTGACCACGTATCCAAGAACTTCAGATATGGGAGACCCAATTCTGAAGCAACACTAGAAGGAAATCTAGTGCTTCTATGTGCACTGTTGGAAATGGTGCAAAGAAGTTTCCTCGAGACACGAAGCTGTTCTACTTAGCATGAAATAATTATGCAAATGCCTCTAGGAAGAGGTCAGAGAAATCATAAAAGCTAGTGCCCATATTAGCAGCGCATCGGGTACGTTGGGTGTCTACAGCTCCCATGAAGGAGCACAATGGAATGAAAATCCTCAGCAAAGTTCTCAGCTGAGATGGGTCACTGTGAGAAATAATAAGGTGGCTTTGTTTCTAATTATGCACTCACAGCCGGTGGCACGCTATTTTAATTTTAAGGGACTGTCTGTGATAAGAAGCAACCAGTAAGAGGAGAGTGAGAAACTGGAGAGAAGCTAAAGCACTCCAGGAAATTCCACCAAATCCCTGGATAGACGTCGTCTCACATGTTGAGAAGTGTGATGCTGCAGCCCTGGAGGAGTTATCTTGGTTACGAGAATATTGCAGTATTGCTGTGTTTGGTGAAAGTACCTGTTAGAAGAGCAAGATGGAGCGACAGTGCTTCCATAAAATGTATTGGGATGGAAAAATACTAAAATATGGTTCATAGAAAGAACTGAAGGTGAGATTTTTCAAAAGTAGTTTTAAAGTTGACATTCAGTTCTCCCCCATTTCCACTGGGAAAAGGGTATCCAAATTGGACGCCTTTGAAAATGCCTCCTTTTTTTTTTTTTTGAAGGGACGTAAATTAATTTTAATTGGTTTATATTCTTCAGCCGTTTAAGCACTTTGGAAAATGTCACCATGAGTCAACAAAGATGTGCTAATCGATTACATCAGTGAGTTTAACATTAGCATCCCAGTATTAAATTAATTCCTCAAGGTTTATTGTATGGCTTCTAAAAGAAGTTGTCTCCAATTAGACTGGGTTGCATGAAAAATACTGGTAACCTTAGTGCTTTGGGGCAGTATAAATAATCTAACTTTGATGTCCTGAAGTTTGAATGCTGACACGCAAAATCATAATGTTCTTTCACTGCCTGATCTAGTGTCCACACAAGTCAGACAGAAAATTTCTGATGACTCCAACAGGTCTTGACTCAGGCTTTTAATATGGCTTTTTTCCACCCTAGTTAATGTCTGACCTCATAAAGCTTTGTTCCTGTAACAAAAATCCTAGGGAATCTCGTTCTGTCCAGTACCTGACTTCTGCCTCATTTCTTAGAAATAGCAAGGTCATTTGCTAGCAATGTTGAACTCAGAACAAAGCCTAAAGGCTGGTAAGTACGTAGCTTCTTTAAACACATCGGCATTTGGACAATAAGGTTTTATAAAGTATAGGATTCATTGGGTTTTGGCTAATAATCAGCAACTCGGGTGAGAGGTCTCAGTTCTGGTTACAATTTGTGAGATACAAGAATTCTGCACATCTTAAAACACTATATCTAGTGGTGTGGAACGAGGCTGGTAGTAAGTTCTGATGGTGGGAGGCTGTCCTGCAACCAGGCTCGTCCACTGGAGGGGACAACACTGCAGTCCAGCAGTTAATGTGCTGGACCGGGCCCATGCAGCTGTGTTCTTTACTCCTGGCCTACAAACTGCATTGTATGAATTACTACAGCTCTGCCAGCCTGAATTTCCCTCTGTTTAAAGGAAGAGAATGATAATTTTTTTTTTTTCCACAAAACTCTTTTGGTAGGTGCTTGCTTTGTTTGATTAGGACCAGCTTGCTTATTATTACTCAGACAGCAAAAAAAAAAAAAATTCAAAGAAGCGAGAATTTTTTAGATGGTGCCATTAATTTTTTTATGGCATGTTTTGCATTGGTAGTGTAACAAACTGGAAAACCACAGCTCTCTTTGAACCTCACTTTCTTCCTGCACACAGAGTTTTTCGATTTCACAGCGCACCGCTGATTCCAGAGGGGAGGGGGGGGTGGGGGGTAGAGGGGAGAAGAGAAGTGATGATTTTGGCAGCGGCACCGTTATGATTTGCTAAAATAGCAGCTTGGCAAATCTGGTTTCTCAAATATCTCATGTTTTGTTAATTACTGACAGCTTTGTTTTTAACTGAACGTGAAACAATGTGGAGAAATGGGCAAGCGTGGCCCCTGACTCACCACTGCCCGGCTGAGCTCGGCAGGTGGGAGCAAGCCGTCTCCAAGAAGGGGCCCGAGCTGCAGGCACTGCCCCAGTTCATGAGGCTCAGCAGATAGATGCAAGGGGAGAGGTCCTGGCACCCATCTATGGGATGCCCAAGAGGGACTCTTTCCACCCTGGGCTTGCTGGGCCAGTAGGAGCTTGGAAATCTTGCCACACAGGAATGTGAAGCCGGGTGCTCAGCCCCCGGGGTTTCTTGGTGAGGTACCCCTCTCCCCAGCCATGGTTCAATACGGGAAAAGACAAGGCATGGAATGGCTTGGGGGAACTGTTAGCCTTGGTTCTGTCCCATGTGGAGAATCCAGGGGATCTGGCCACTCTAGATCACTCAGGGACTGGCAGCATCCCTTCAGGGGCCAGTGTGTTTCAGACCATCAGACCATGGTGAAGTTGCAGCAGGGGAGATTTAGATTAGATATTAGAAAGAATTACTTTACTGAGAGAGTGGTCAGGCACTGGAACAGCCTGCCCAGGGAGGTGGTGGAGTCACCATCCCTGGAGGTATTTAAGAAACGTATAGACATGGCTCTTCAGGGCATGCTCTAGTGCCCAAGGTTATTGGTTTATGGCGAGGTGTTCAGTGTGGGGTTTAGTTGGTGGGTGCGGTGTTTTTGGTGGGCGTTTGGTGTGGTGTGGTTTTTTTTGGGTTTTGGTTTTTTTGTGTTGGTTTTTTTTTTTTTTTTTGTGGTTGGACTTGATGATCTCAGAGGTCCCTTCCAACCACTAAGATTCTGTGATTCTGTGTTTACCTGGGAATACATCTTCAGAGGTAGATGGAGCCAGGTCACCTTACCTACGTTTTCTTAAGACTAGGGTCCACATCTCATGAAAACAGCAAAGTGCGAGATGGATGTCTGAAGAAAGCGTGAGCAAAGTGGGCCAGAGTGGACACTCCTCTTACACTTCATCTGTTAGCATTCCCTGGCCACCTGGAAGTTCACATGAACTAGTATCTCCACATACTTTGAGTGATGTTCAGTGTCCCTGTGTCAACCAACACAGGGCATGCGCAAAGCATGGCCTCATTGGGCAAGCTTGAGAGCTGCTCTTTGGGCTGGAATCTCCTAGGCAGAAACATGGAAGCTTTGTATTTGCAGGTATCTGTTCTGCAGCTCCTGCCCTCCCTGCTCCTCTCCCAGTGAGCATTATAGGACCCTGGTACCAGAACATGGGGAAATTGAAAGACCTAGGAAAGTGGAAAATTCAAAGGTAATGAAAGACAGATGATTTCTTATGCCTGTATGCATGTAACTAATGGATTCACTGCTCCAGGAGATCTCAGGGGCCAAGAACATTGCAGATTTTTAAAAAAAAACAACTGATACCTTAAGAGATAACAAAAATATCCAGCCAAGCTAAGAAATTTGACAAAAGCAAAAGACATTCTTCAACTCCAAGGTTTATAGCCATTTCTAATGAGTGGGGAGTAGGATTAAAATATTCCTGGGAGCCAGGGTTCCTAAAGATGCTTGTGTGATGACAAGAGAGTGGACGAGCAATACTGCTGGCCATGTAAAGCTATTCATGCATAACTGTGCTCTGGATGATCCCATGGCAACTTATTTTTTGACCTATATTTATTGTATTGGGTAAATGTCACGTCTACTTTTTGTCTCTTTATTAGCATCGCTCATCAGGCGCTCTGTGTGTGTGTGTGTTTGTATATGCACAACACATAGACATAATTACACATAAGTCCTTTGGTGTCACTTTTCCCAGAGCAGTGTAACACTTCGCATATGAAATGAGTTTTTATAGAAATAATGCTACAGAGATAATTTTTTCCAACCATTTTTTCCTTTTTACTAATACATAAGAGAAATGGAAACAGTGAGTCAAAATATATCTGTAATCACATGGCATGAAGAGAGGAATTCAATTTCAGAAATGCTGAGCTTTGTGCCTCGGTGCAGGAGGAAGTCTGCAAACTTGGGCTGTACAACACACATCACAGATCTGGCGCTCATGGCTGATAAACTGTTTTGAGAAGCAGCAGCATCTCAGCCCTGATTTGTCAGAGATTTTTTGCAACTGTCCTCTCACCGAAGTGAACTGGAGCTAAGGAAGCGTTCTGGGAAATCGAGCCTGTAGGGTGAAGGCAGAGCACTGGGAATACAGGCTGCTAACTTTGGCCCTTCCACAAACTCATTCCTTGACCTTCAGCACATCAGAAGAAGGGCAGGAGTCCAAGAGTGATTTGGGGCTGCTTTTCCATCATTGGGTTGTCCCTCTTTGACTAGCGCTTTTTTGCCTTGCTGTCCTTCAGGATCTCATTTTCTCAGACCAAAACGAAAAGGATGGGGGGAGAGGGGAGGGAAATCCCTTAAAAAGGGACCCTGATTTACAAAGTCCAAGCCCCAGTCTCAGAAAACCTTTTCTGCCAGGTTTCTCCTTTCTTACACCGTGTAGAGGAGAAAGTATTATGCTGTGAACTAAGATTTTGCTGGATGAAGCACTGAATAATGTTTCTGCTTGCAGTCTTTCCCCCCCTGCCCACCCCTACCTCCCCATCCTGCGTATTCCCTCCTGCCGCTGTGTAGGGAAGAAAGACTGCACTCCTGCCCCACAGGTGGAGAAAAGCCTCCTGGTCCCACTGCCCAGGGCTCCTCTGGGATGATGATGCTGCCACAGACCCGGGGACCAGCTCTGCACCCCCTGGATGCTCCACCAGCACCCCAGGTACGGGCGCTTGCCAGGCTTCCCTCTGGCAGGTCATTGCCTTGACCTCTAAACAATGGAACTGTATTTAAAGAAGGAAGGGATAAAAGGGAATAATAAAAAAAAAAAAAGAAACCAAGCGATGGCTAGGATTAAAGCAAAGAAAAAAATTACAGGAGTGCAAGTACAAAGGGGGTTAAAAAAGGAAAGAGAGAAAAAAGAAACGGGAGACTTGAATAGCATTGAATATTTGAATTTCTTTTGTTTGAGAGGGTTTTTTCTTAAAGCCGCTTGGAAATGTGGAGGTTTTTTGGTTTTTGTAGCATTGAATATTTGAATTTCTTTTGTTTGAGAGGGTTTTTTCTTAAAGCTGCTTGGAAATGTGGAGGGATTTTTGTTGTTTTTTTTTCATACAGGTGTTGTTTATACATTTTTCCAATTAGAAGAATCTCCTTTATATATTTAGCACTATTTAGAGGGGACTGGGAAGATAAGGCTGCTGAGGAATGCTTCAGGCTAAAGCTAGGTTCTCCAAACTGGCTTTTGTTGCGCCAATGTGAATCACTTAATAATTCATATTTCAGAATACATTAATGCAAATGATAATTTTAGCTTGCTATTGAATTTTTAAATATGCAATACAAGCAATTTATGTTTCTGTTCATTTTCCCAGGTAAAACTGTTTAGACGTTTTTAACATATGCTTGGTTTCACTCATCATATATCATCCCATTGTTTTAATTTGCAGTAATTAAAAATTAGGAGCATCACAAATAATACATGTAGCCCTATGTTCATGGAAAAATAACATGGAACCGATACTCAGTCTTGCACTTTGAATGAAAGAGATTTTTCAGTGTAGCTGCAGTAACAAAATAGGAGTGTCCTATGTTTATGCAGACAATCTATATCTAAACAGCAATTAATATAATTAATCTGTATCTATCTCTTTAAATCATTATAGTTTTTTTCTGGACGTTTTTTAGATTTACAAAGAGTATTTGGTGTAGGAAGGACAAACACGTTGTTCCTCTCCTACTGGGCTGGCTAGATAATTAGAAGACTGAATATCAGAGGTTATTGAAGAGTCACTTTCTTTTTTGGTTTCTGGAAACTAATTGTCAGCTTTGACTCCACTTTTCAGAAACATGGTGGGAGCTCAAGTGGCAGGTGAGCTGAGAGGCCCAGAGAGCCCAAGCCATGAACTTCCCTTGGGGAAAGGTAAGAAATTCTGTGGTTTTGCATTGCTCCTCATCCCTCCAAGCTCACCATGGGGTGGGAGTCAGACGTGCCTGCCCAAGTGACGATGGTCCAGCAATGTGCCACTTTGTAGGGATATATTTATAGCAGCAGTTTGGGACTGGGGATGCACCATCCTGCAGTATCTTGCTCTTCCATGAGCAGTGCTTGTGCCCTCCATGACTTGTCATGAAGAAATAAAATGTCCACAGAGGGGGCCAAGGGGTGAGAAGGAGGATGCCCTGAGGCCCAGCTGTCCCTTCTCTCTTCCTCATATTTCTGACAGTGGCCCTCCAGCTCCAGCGTGCCCGTGGGGATGTTAGCTTGGCCCTTCCCATGTTCAAGGGGTCATGTAACTTCCCTCCCATTTGACTGTTCCTGTATTGAAGGACAAGAAAGAAACTTCCACACCCTCTTCTCTACCCCTGGGGGAGATGCACCATCCCTTTACCTTCCTACTTTTCCCTTCTGGGCAAGAGAAATAAAAAATATTGCCTTCCATCCCTTTTCAGGACAGCAAAGCCATCCCTTACCACCGACAGTGTCAGACTGCATTCCACAAACACCTTCTAGCCCCTGGCTTTCACTCAGCCGTGACTGCTCAACTGTGATAAAGCGGTAGCATTTCCTAGATATGAGATCTACAGACAGATATGACCCACGTAACTGCTGGACATATCCCTGAGCTCCCATATGCAAATCTCATCCTGTACTTAATCAAATATCATCCATCCGGGGGGGAAGAAAAGAAAAAATGAAGGCACTATTAGAAAGGAAATGGTAATGAGAAGAAAAGAGATATCAAGGAACCAAAATAATTTATTATAAATTAATATTACAACCTGGGGATATAAATATGTCTGGTTATTGGAACGCACATTCTCCCCCTTAAACCATTGCTAGAAGCATAAAACTTCCCACGACATGCTGTATTGGTCAATGTATCTCTGTAAGAAGGTGCTTTGTATCTCAGAGGTAGCATAAGAGCCATTAGATGTGGGTGTTGCTATGGTAACTGCTCTTTTTTTTTAATTGAATAGCATAGTAAGTAGTCTTGTAAAACCCACCAACCCGTAACTTGCTGGTGCCCTGAGGCAGCATTAATGCAAGCACCTTTTCTTTGTCTTATTTCCTTCCTAGAGAGATGCAGGTATCTCAGCAGAAGCTACATCTTTCCAAGGGTAGTAACTGTGCCAGGAGAATATGTCCAGCTGCCTCTTAGTAAAGGGATGATAAACACCAGGCCAGGTAAGATATACCAGCTTTATTCCAGCCCACTTTATATACCATAGGGTCAGGTAGCCAGAAGACTCCCCCCTTCTTTTACAGCTGAGATGGGTAGCCAGAATCTTTTGCTAATGTGCCATCTTTGACTTCTTTCACAAAGACTGCCCACTCCTCCCCCCACACTCCCGCTCTGCCACCCGCCCCAAGCCACAATGTTGTATTGCAGCCAATTAGTAAACCACCAAAATGAAGCCTTCCAGTGCACCAGCCAGTTCAATGAGATGATTTTTGTTTGGTGTAAAATTTACTGGTTTTCTTTTTCTCTTGACGTGTGTCAAGTGGATACTTGTCAAGTGTGACTAAATCTCCAAGACCACCTGCTTTTATAGTCCTCCTTTCAGAAGAGTAATGGTCTTAGCTGGATCACCCACCTCGATCTTGGACCCTGCCTGTTCTTGCTGTTGCTCCTCTTTTAAATCAGTAGCAGAGTATTTTTACAAGTACAAGAGCACCAGCCCTCCTCTGAGCAAAGGAGACGGTCTCCCTGGTTGAAGTAAGGCTTGTTTAATTTGGACAAATACATCAATTTTTCAGCTTCAGCTCCAGAATTCCCCTTACCACTGCTGACAGGCATGCCCTGTCATGGTTTTGCTGTGGGATGCTCTGCATGGGGCTGTATCTCCAATTTAATTGCCCTTGGCACTTGCAGCTCTCCCCTGGAGTCACCACCAGACTGTATTTGACCTGACTAAAGCATGCTCATACACCTACTAAGAAAGCCGCCAGCAGTGGAAAGGGAACAGCCATCACTTCCCTTGTCCTTCTCCTTGGCCTCAACAGAGCTGTCAGGTTTTAGGTGATGCTCGGGCAGGTCCTGCCCCTGGCTGACCAGAAGAGCTCCCACGCCAGCCAGGGACTACTGGCTTTTCTCTCTCTGTGCCTCACAGTGTTGTGTCCCTTTTTTAATGTTTGTAATTCCCCATGACCAATCATCCCTATGCTTTTCTGTGCAAACCCACTGAATGGAGCAGTGGAGATAACTGGTCTTGATGTTCAAAGAATAACTGTAAGGCTTCTTTTGTCTGGGATTCTCATTTATATATTGTCTAGGGCAAAGTCCATAGCTGAGATCTTGGGAATCCCCATTCAGGTGCTACCAAGCAAGGGTAGCACTGACACAGTTTTAAGAGATAAACGTGTTTGGTTTTTTTTACCTTGAAGTTTTCCTGGTCATCTAAAAGTTCTGCTTCGGATACTGCATGGTTTCAGTTTTGGCAGGGCTCAAACTAATCAGATCCAGAACCGTGGGTTCTCCTACCTACGTCTTCCAAGAGGCTCTCACAGCACCTGACATTTGCCAGTAGGATTGGGCTGCCCACCTAATACTGCTCTCTTCTAAAGCATTGAGGGGAGTGGGCACTCTCCCACCTCCAGGCTGTATCCCAGGCTGGGCAGGGCACTGTGGGAAAAACAATTCAAGATTTATTGGGTTAGACTTTGCTCCAAGGCCCCTGCCTATGTATTTCTTCAATGGCATTTTGATGCCATTGGATAAAAAAAGGATAGACAGAAATGATGCCTCATACAAATCTCAGCTTCAGACAGCTGTAAACTTTGGGTACATTAGAGATAGGAGCTGAGCAGTATGGCCAGAGCCCATGTATTTATTAACCAAAAGTGAGAAAATTCATCCTGCTTCAGAGAACTAAAGTGAACTTTGGGTGGCACATAAGCCTGGTGTTACTCTGCCATTTGGGAAGTTAATTTCCCCTTAGAAGGAAGTTACGGTCTTTAATCAAAGGCTTGTGAAAAGTGAGTCATTTTGCTAGGGTGGCAAGGGCTTCTAATTTGTTTTGATATTTTTGGTCCTATCTAGGGAATGTCCTTTATTGGAAAAGACAGATTAAAAAATAGATAAAAAAGAGGAGGAAATGCTTGATGTGCACTTGAAGAGCCTGGATTTGTTCAAATACAAGCATGGAAAGTCTGAGTGATCTTCACATTCAGATCACAACTTCACTGTAAAGGAAAGGTCACTTTTGCTTGTGTTCTGGGGCAGCTTTTTCTCTTTTGTCCCCTTGGTAAGATCTCTCCTTTTGTATTATTATGGATGTACCTTGGTTTTGAACATTTCCTTTTTTCTTTTCTTCTTTTTTTTTTTTTTTTTTTCCTTTTGTATTATTATGGATGTACCTTGGTTTTGAACATTTCCTTTTTTTTTTTTTTTTTTTTTTTTTTTTTTTTTCCGTACAGAGAACAGATATTTCATCTTTTAAAAGATTTACAAGAAAAAGAAATAATATATGCACCACTGTGGAAAAGCATGTCTCTCTTCATACCTTTGCATTTTACAGGAAAATATGTCATTCCTTTCAGATCCATGAATTAAGATGCACTATTTTTTGCTGAAGGCTATTTTAAATTAGGCTAATAAATTGCTGCTCTCTGCCTTGCGTGATAATGCATTACATTATCTACTGATGTACACGTATTGTTTGACTCTAATGGTGTGGAAATTAAATGTTAGACATGGGCCAGATGTTCCTATAGATGAATATGAAGTATGACTCTGTCGTAGCTGAGTCTCAATGGGACAGAAGGTAGATGGTGAGGTTTTCTGAACAACAGCAACAAAAAAATCTTAAGTGGGTCACTCGCATCACACCCGAGACCCAGCCCTAACACTGAGCTGTTGAGGAGCATTATCAACCTGAGCTCCGTTATTATTCCTCGGCCAGAGCTAGTGCCTTTCTTATTTCAAATGCTTCAGTGCTTATAAAGCCACAAAAAAAAAATGGCTCGTAGAGATGGAAATGTTTGCCATCCCTGTCAGACTGACAGAAACCGCTCCGGGTGCATCCCTGGCTCCTGTCTTAGCTACAAGCATTTTGAAGCTCTCCCTCTGCCCTTCCCCCTCTCCCTGTGTATTTTCATGCAGTGGCTGAGGGGGCAAACAGATGTACATTACAGTGAATATTAATGAAGGTCCCCCACCGGCATCTCCTCTCTGGAAAAGACAGGGGGGGAACAGTTTACAATCTACCTCGCAGGGCTAAATTACCCAGTGACACATAATCCAAGTACCAGCAGAATGCTGGTGAACATGGGTATTTAGGATGTTTGATAATGATGGACAGGGGCATTTTGAGAATCATTAACAAAGCAGCTTTGCTTTGGGAATGTTCTGACTCTCTACAGCCCACTAGCACCTAAAAATAAAAGAAAAATAATCCCAGCCATGAGATTAATTGAACGTTAATATTTGTGTGTGCATATGCACATGTATGTTTGCATTGTGTGTGAGGTGGGAAGGAAGGACAATTTTGGCATTATCAGTAAAGGTCTGTGAGCAAACCAGAAGGACTTTCGGGAGTAGTGAGTTGGTAATGCACGGATGCTTTGTCACCAAAAGGGAGAGGTGAACTTCCTTTTCTTTTTCCTTTCCTCAGAGAGGATTCTAGGAGCGGCTGGATTCAATCCTAGTCCCAGACATGGTAAGTGTTTTATGTCTAAAGGATTACATACACACAATCAATCCTTTATATCACTTAACTAAGATTTCATTAGCATGCTAATAGTCACTTACTGAGGATCTGTTGCAGCAAGAAATCTCTGAATCTCAAGGGGTAACCTTGAGAGGCGTCTCTACTCAAGGGGAGATGCTGGCATGCAGCCCACTCTCATGCAGGAGAGCTCAAAGGACTCTTGGGCTGTTTACTGTTTATGGGGTCAGCATTGCTCAAGTTGCCCTTGGCTATTGTGTTGTCATCTGTCTCCCCGAAACCCCGTTGAGCCAGGTGGAGTCACCACAACTAGATGCACCCATTATGACTACCACGGTAGGTTATCACTTGAAGAGGGTTATGGTAGATAAAGGTAAGGTTGGCACCTGGGGTGGTGGAAAACCATCACACTGCCCAGCTTCCTGTCAGGGTAGTATTTCTGCAAAGACTTGGGTATAAGCTTGTTTTCGTGTACCCAAGCTCACCAAAGGCCAGGGATTGTGAGGAGTTCTGTTATTCCCCCTGCTGAATGTGGCAGTCACCCCCAAGAGCACCAGGCCCTGAGAGCAGGCTGAGCTGGCCACATCCATGTCTCTGTGAGCCGTGTGGTGTGGTGGAGGGAAGATGGGCAGACGGTGTACCCCAGCACAGCCCACAGCCATCACCACCTGTTCCATGGCTGTAGGAATCACCAAAGGGACCTCACCGTGACCAAGCCAGAGTCCTTACCAGGGATAATGCTGCAGTGCTGAGGCCAGGTGAAAGCCAGCATTAGGTCTTCAGCATATGATTGGTAGAAAGCAAGGCTCGTTCCCCATCTAGCTGCAGTGTTTCTCAGGCCTCTTCAGTGGCAGGCACCGTTGGATATACTCAAGAATGTTTTCATCACAGCTAACAGAGGGCTATCCAGATTGCTCGTAACTGTTTTTAGCACAGTAAACATGCAAACCAAGTGCCTGGGGAAAGAAAAAAAAAAAAAAAAAAAGAAAAGAAAAAGCTGTCCTTGCAGTAGCTGATCATTTTTAATTAAATCTCAATCTATCAATCTAGTTAGTGTGTGAGAGGGAGAGAACCAGCCCTGAGTGATCTAGGATGTGGGTGATCTGAGATGGCTGCTCGCTCTGTGGCCCTGCGTAGAGGCCAAACCCAGCTGAGGAGGCACTTCTGCTGCCAGTATGAGGACAAGGCACAGGGGCAGGAGGGTCCCACCAGCCTGATCTCCATCATACAGCTCGTGGGCTGTAGAGAGACTCTGTCAGAGCCTGGAGCGAGCTTCTGTCAGAAGGTGATGTGAGCAGGGAAAGCAGGGTTCATAGCAGTTGAGTGTCTTTGATGGTACCACGAGAAGCCTGAGCACTTCTGCCCATGCTGCTGCACTACCAGCTTCCTCCCCAGTCGGACAATGCTGAGCATAGCTCAGGAATGCCAGATGCCACAGCAGGTAGGCACCATTTGGGGTGGGCACCAGAGCATGGGGCACTCCTCCTGGGGATCCTGCACCCTTGACATCTGGAGTCCCACTCCTCTGTGGGTGAGGAGAGGGTAAGGGGGGTGTGAGTTACCTTTTGTTCTCTGGGCTGAGGGATTTACCCTTTCTAATGCAACTGCTTCAAAGTACTTTAAAATGTGAAGGTAGAAAGGGTTCATTTGACAAAATGTGATATTTACTGTCTTGACATCTTTTCTCTTCTAGAGGCAATGTTAGCCATGTTGTTCATGAATGAATAACAACAAAGGAAAAAAAAAAAGTAAAGACAGTTGCCAGTTTTTATACCAGTTTTGGGTCTGAGTGGAGGCGGGAGGGGGAGAGAATAGCATGCGTTTATCTGCGTTTCAGGAACAATGAACCTCAAACCTGAAATTATTTCCTATTTGAAAATAATTCTGAAATAGATTTTTATTGACAGAGCCAGTTTAAATCACTGTATAGTCCCCAGCATCCGAGCTCTTGTAAATCACCTGCAAGCTTCTCCTCTTCTCCAACTGTATTTCAGGTTTAACTGAAGCTCATCACCAGGTAGCTGGAGAAATATCTGAGAGAAGGTGAGGGGAAGAGAGAGACTCAGGGACTGATAACTTGCAGAGAAAGTGGGAGGAGGGTTTTAAAACATGAAACTATGCAAATATTTTCTTTTAGCATTTAGATAGCAGAGGCTCCCTAGATCAACACATTCATATACACGTGCTGACATATGTGTTCACAAATCACCAGAGACAACCCGAACCAGACACTTATCCTCCCCACCACGTACAGTATTAGGTGAGAATTACTTCAGATGTTATTTGATAGTCTAGATTTTTTATAAACTATTCTTGTCACTGAAAAGGATCGTGACAGCACTAGGGTTCATACTGGGTCTGTATCCTCCCTCCATAAAAGGAGATGTTTGCCTGTAGGTCTGACTGCATATTACTTTTATCCTCTGTGGGTAAAATATAGCAATCTGATCACTATGGCCTGCTCACAGTGTGCATTACCTCTTCTACTGTTAGTTTTCATGAGTGAGCTGGCCTCAATTTCAACTCCCAGTTGTCTGGTCTGGGCTCACCACTAATAAAGAGTATGAGTAAGAAAAGGAAATTCTTCTTCAGAAGTCAGTAAAGTGGCTCTCAACTCCATGACGTTGTTTCCCCTTCAGGATCTGTCCGTACAATCAGCCACACACAAGCCTGCCAGAAAATATTTGCCTTGAAAATAAACAAGATGATAAACCTTCATTTAATGTTCACAACTGCTAGCTCTGTTTGAGGAGTCCAGAGTGAATAATGTGTGGTAATTCAGAGACAACTCAAGAGCTACCTGACCTCACTGAGTTATTGATGATGAGATGGGGAGCTCTTCATGAAGCCCTGAGCACTCTTTGTGGGCTGTTGCTTCCTGCTCCCCTTGACCAAAAGCCTCTCATCAGGGAAGCAGGGCAGATGTTCCCACTTCTTCAGCTGTACTTTTGTGACTATCTCATCACAGTGGATATTTTGGATATGGCGGATGCATTGGCTAGTTATCTACTGGAACTTCAGTATGGCCTTTGACACTGTCTCTGGTAAGATCCTCATAGACAAGCTGTCAATGTATGGGCTGGACGAGCAAACAGTAAGGAGGACTGAAAACTGGTTGAAGAGCCAGGCCCAGAGCCCGGTGGTCAGTGGCATGAAGTCTAGTTGGAGACCAGTAACTAACAGTGTACCCCAGAGGACAGTACCAGGTCCAGTCCTGTTTAACATCTTCACTAATGATCTGGATGATGGGGGACAGTGTACCCTCAGCAAATTTGAAGATGACACAAAACTGGGAGGAGTGGCTGATATGCTAGAGAGTCATGCTGCCATTCAGAAAGATCTCAACAGGCTGGAGAAACGGGCTAACAGGAAAATCATGAAGCTCAACAAGGAGAAGGGCCAAGTTCTGCACCTGGGGAGGAACAACTCCCTGCACCAGTACGAGCAGGGGGCCACACAGCTGGAAAGGAGAAAAGGACCAGAGGTGTCCTGGCGGACACCAAGTTGAACATGAGCCAGCCGTGTGCCCATGTGGCAAAGAAGGCAAATGGCATCCTGGTCTGCATTAGGAGGAGTATTGCCAGCAGGTCAAGGGAGGTGATTCTTCCCCTCTACTCAGCACCAGTAAGGCCACACCTGGAGTCCTGTGTCCAGTTCTAGACTCCTTAGTAGAAAAGAAACATGGACACGTTGGTGAAAGTCCAGTGAAGGGCCATAAAGATGATTAAGGGACTGGAGCATCTCTCCTATAAGGAGAAGCTGAAAGACCTGGGACTGTTCAGGCTGGAAGAGAGAAGGCTCAAGGGAGGATCTTATCAAAGTACATAAGAAGACAGGGACAGGTTCTTTCCAGTGGTGCCCCAGTGACAGAACAAGAGGCAACAGGCACAAACTGAAACTCAGGAAGGTCCCTCTGAACATCAAGAAAAAGTTTACACTGAGCGTGACGAAGCACTGGCACACATTGCCCAGAAAGGTGGTAGAGTCTCCCTCCTTGGAGATATCCAAAAGCCATCTGGACATGTTCCTGGGCAGCCTGTTCTAGACGACAGAACAAGAGGCAACAGGCACAAACTGAAACTCAGGAAGGTCCCTCTGAACATCAAGAAAAAGTTTACACTGAGCGTGACGAAGCACTGGCACACATTGCCCAGAAAGGTGGTAGAGTCTCCCTCCTTGGAGATATCCAAAAGCCATCTGGACATGTTCCTGGGCAGCCTGTTCTAGATGGCCCTGCTTGAGCAGAGGGGTTGGACAAGATGACCTCCAGTGGTCCCTTCCTACCTGAACCCTTCAACGATTCTGTGATCTTAAAGATGTTACAAAAGGTGAATAAAAAGCAAATAAGCCTCTGAGACCCTGTTTTATTAAGATGTGCTGTTACAACAGGGAAGGGAGGTATGTAGTCATGTATCTAGGTATACAGGGGATTGGGTGCTGAACTGAGAAGCACTAACATGATGACTTAATGTGCAGCCTTGTTCCCTTAAGCAGAGAGAGCTTGTCATCTAGCCTTTGGCACTCATGGTGAAAACAAGGGTAGAGACAGTCCTGTCTCATCTCTGAGAGTGCCTGAAGTGGCCTTGATTACCTACTGAGGCGTCTTAGTCCGAGCGAACAAGTTTCTTATCCATCTCATAACACCTCCTTTGGTTTTAACATGGCATGTGCCCTATGTGTTAATTAGTTTTCCTGCAACTCACATTTCAAAGGACTGTAGCTCTTCAGTGGGAGGAAACCAGGACAAGCCAATAGGAGCTATTCTGATAATATGACTCAAGAAACCATCAGGTTTTCCACGCTCACAAAGTATCAGGAATTTTGGCAACAGTACCTTCCATTTACTGCTGTGGAAAAAAATGTCATCAATTCTTAATTCAGTGGAAACTGCTAAATTAAAAATCCTTAAAGTATCTCAATGATCTTAAAGGATCCAGGGAAATTTAGGGCTTGATTCTGCATCTGTCAACTGAATGGGCATATTCCTCTTGTACTCTGTGGGACCAACACTAGACCCTGGTTAAAAGTGCTTCAGGCTAAATACAATCAGTATTTAGTGATTGAGAGGGGGAGAGAGATGGGGGGCAACCCAACCTAAGTATTTTCCTTTTCTGATAAAGGTGAACTGTTGTCATTCTGGAAACCCTCACTTTACAGACTTCCCTAAAGGAGATGGGTGGGGTTTTCCACATATTTGCCTCAAAATTCTGCATCCTTAAAGTGATATGATGACTGTCCTTTGTTAAAATGATTTTTTAAAGCACGAAGGGATTCCCATGGTGGGCAGGCGGTAAGAAAGTGAATGTCAGGCATTTTCTATCCATTCCCCAGAAGAAGTTGCCCAATGATCCTGCACAGGAGGTTCTCAGGTCTGTGATGGTCTTGCCTTATGTCTGTGGTTTCAAGGTCTCTGCAAAGACTTCCATGGAAACTCTTAAATGAGATCTTGTCTTTCCTTTTTATGATGTGGACCTATAGCCAAGGAAAACTGGGCCAAGATCTCCAAACCCACACAGGCCACCACTGCAAGCAACATCTGATCGGAACTGCTACCATACAAAGCTGATCACATTTCAGCTGATGACCCAGCTGACTGATCACTGCTCACATAAGCCAGCCAGCCCTCTTATTACTAACAGCTTTAGCTGGAACCATTACTTAATTAAAAATGCCTTGACCGGTCCCATCCCCGTGGGAAGCCGAGACCAAAAAGACTTTATAAGAAAAGCTACTGTGATTCCAAATGAAAAACCTACCCTGTCTTTTTCCCTTTGCTCTTTAATTCCCACTGCAGATTCACGTCCTGGTGAGTCATGACACATGCACAGCACATATGTATGAAATAAGTTGTCTCTCCTGCCCTTCCCCTGCTACACCTCTGCTACACCTGCTCCCTCACCCCCACACCTCATTTTTTTTTTCTAGACCTTATTCACCAAAACTTCTGTGAAAGAAAGAAAGAATTTCCCCCCCCAGCCACCAGTGCTGTTATAATAGTACAAGCGTTCAGCGTGGATGTAACCTACAGCATCAGCTCTGGCTGATGATGTGAGCAATCTCTCTGCCACCCTGAGCTAATCACAACAAGTCAGCTCGAAGTGTCAGTGCAAGATGGACAATTGCTAAATGGCAAAACAGATGGGAAATAATAACCCTTTATTTTACACTGTGAGCCTACCAAGAATTATTTGCTAGTGATAAAAAAATCTCTGCAAACACATCCCTGCAGATAGGTTGAATATGGCCTCATTTCAGAGCTGCTAAGTGAAATACTGAGCAGGGGGTTCCTCTTTGCAAATAAGTTTTTGTTTAAAAAAAAATATAAATTAAAGTTAAGCTGTTCAGAAGTACCAAGTACTTCACGTTGGACCCCTGGCTTCAGATACTGGAATTCTGTCCCACTGAAAATGACTTTGACGAAACGCTCCCAGGCACCCTCCTCCTGCACCACTGGGAGGGTAGTCATGGATAGACAAATAAAGAATGGTAACATCTGAAGGAGAAATCTCAGTGAGCTGGCATAAGAGATGCCACCAGAGCTTGCTTTGTTGTATAAAGCATGAGGGCCTACTTCTGGCTGAGGAAGTAAACAGAATTTGTCTGCAAGCTTATCCTCCTACAGTGCTAAAATATTTCCTTCCTGCACTTTTTCATCTCTTTATTTTTGATTAAATGCCATATCTGCTGCTCCCATCTCCTCCAATGGTTCTCTGTTCTTCCAGCTTCTCTTTTCAGTATTGCCTTCTCTCATTTGTTTTCCTCTTGGCCATTTTGTGCAACATCCCATCATGTACCATCACGTTAAAACATCCTATTGTCTCTCTATAGACTCCAGCTAGTACTTGTAAGCTCCTCTGGCAGTTGTCCTGCAGCAGCCTTTCCATACTAGCACTTCCTTCATCCTTTGCCCCTAGCCAATTATGGGCATTTGTTTGTGTTTGCACAAGGCACAGGCACATTCTTTTTTAAAGATCTTATCCTGCAGCTATGTCAAGTTCCTAACCCCATTTGCATCATCTAAAATGCTGCATTCTTCAAAGATGAAATGAGAGCCTGCTGGCTGCTTATAGTGGCTGATAAAATGGCAACCACGAGAAGACTAAAATATGAAATTAATCTGTATAGGCTGGTTCACGACCCTGACAAAGCAGCTGTCCATGCAATAATCCTTGTCTTTGGTCTACCACTGAGCTAAGCATGAAGAAATTGGCAGATTGGGCAGATTTTTATTACCTAACAGCATCCTTTCCTAATATAAGATCTGAGAAATACGTAAGGAAACTTAAATAACAGGTTCTCTTAATGTGGGGAATACTATATCTTCTCCTAGTTGATCTGCACTTTCAACCTCTTTTTAAGAGACAATAATTTACTCAGGAATGGTGTTGTGGTTTAACCCCAGCCAGCAGACAGGACCACCAGCTGCTCATGCTGTTCTCCCCTTTTACCCTACAGAAGGATATGGAGAAGGGAGAAAAGGAAGGGAGAGGGAAGGGGAAACAATACCTTGGGGGTTGAGATAAAGACAGTTTAATGGAACAATAACAGAAAACGGAAAATAACAACACAGCAACTTATTTGTTTGGGGAAAAAAAGAAACCATGCAACCTTCATTAAGATACTCTAATACTGTTCTACTTAAAACTTGGTATCTACTTTCAGGATGTTGCTGTGCATATGCTTGTTTGCCATTTTAGTGGACATTTTTCTCAAATGTGGCAAATTATATATATATATATAAAATGAAAATCGCCATATGCTCATGTCTGGAGAAGACTTTTTGAAGCTTAGCAACTGAAGCATCTGAAGAGTCCCACTTTCAGACCCTTCCAGCGAGGACACCTCATCCTCTCATTCCTAGACCCAAATTATATGGTACTGCTATCAAGTAAATTTGCATGTTCCAGCCAGCAGTACAACCTAGTCCTTCCTTGCAGTTACTGAAGGATAGTGTGTTACTGTCACTGAAGCAAAAAGCCATGGAATTATCTCTTTCAATACCCTCTTCTCCATCTGCTCACACCCAGAAAAGGAGTGAATGGGATGAGGTAGATTTTTGGGAAAAGGTTGAGCAAGAGAGAGAATCTCAAGCTTAATTCCAATATTTTCCTATTTTTTAACCTGTTTGATTCTGACATCTTGGTATTCTTTCCTTATGATGCAATTATATGCTATCCATTTAAAATATCCTTTTTATTTACAGGGAAGCATAAAAGTAAAATAAATGCATCATTTTCACTGTAGCTGCGTAAAAGGTTTATGAAATTGTCTGTGACAGTCCATTAACAAGGAAAAAACAGAGATATTACTATAGTAACATTCAAAGGTGGTTGCAATGAAAATAAAATAATTCAAACTAAGGCAATATTTGCTCACATAACATGAGTCATTTGGATTGTGAATTCCTGACAATGCTGAAGAAGGGGAAAGTTGTCAAGGAAGAGTGACAACATGTCCCCACTTTGTATGGCAGAATCCAAAGGTTCTCACTGACAACCAAGGAAAAGACAATAACACAAAAGTGGAACATGTATTCCTCTTTAGCAGACTTAAGATATGCACTAACAGTGGGCTGAGTTCTGCTTTCACACATGCTTCGGGTTGCCTCTTGATTTCTGTGCAAGCACCTGCCCGTCGCAGTGAGATATTTGCACAGAGGGGACTCAGCACCCTGACCAGGCTGTGAATATGAAGGACACCACAGAGATCTTCGTGACAGACCAGATATGCAGAAAGAATCTGAGAGCAGATTTTTGCCTTGCACAAGAGCATGGGATCAAATGTGGTCATTCCTGCTCTGCCCCCTGCAAAGTACCTGTAATAATAAATGTAAAGCCTCTGTGCTCCTGAAGAGCTCTGAGCACCTGAACAAGAAATAGCTAAAAACAATGTGCCAAATTCTGTTCTTCCTCTGCACCTCCACTGATGGGCCAGGGATACAAAGTCTGACATTATATTAGCACAGTGCAGGTGGGAACCAGAG